TGCACAAAAACGTGATGACTACTGTTTGAAGACTTGTGAACTTGTCTCTAAGGGGGAGAGACAAGATTTCACAGTAAATAATGGAATTTTATTCTACCAGAATCGCTTGGTAGTTCCTAGTGGCGAAGTGAGGGAACGTTTAATGCGTGAATCTCACGAAACCACTTATACCATGCATCCTGGTAGTAATAAAATGTTCCAAGATCTGAAGAAGACATATTGGTGGCCCACAATGAAGCGGGAAATTTCTGAATTTACAACATGATGTCTGACGTGTCAACAAGTCAAGGCTGAACACCAAGTGCCTAGTGGGTTGCTACATCCACCTACTATCCCTAAATGGAAGTGGGAACGAATTACGATGGACTTTGTGATTGGACTTCCATTATCAGCTAAGAAAAATGACGCTGTTTGGGTAATTGTTGATCGATTAACCAAGTCATCTCATTTTATCCCAATTCGACGTGATATGTCCTTGAAGAAGTTGGCAGAGTTGTACATCCGTGAGATTGTAAGATTACATGGTGTACCTTTGTCTATCATTTCTGATCGTGACCCGCGATTCACATCGCAATTCTGGAAGAGTTTGCAGAAAGCCTTACGTACTAAACTCAACTTTAGTACGGCATTTCATCCACAAACAGACGGACAATCTGAAAGGACAATTCAAATTCTTGAAGATATGATGAGAGCATGTGTAATTGATTTTGGAAACAACTGGGAACAATACTTATCGCTAATGGAGTTCGCGTATAACAATAGTTATCAAGCGAGTATCCAAATGGCCCCGTACGAAGCCTTGTATGGAAGACGCTGTAAAACCCCAGTATGCTGGACAGAATTAAGTGAGCAAAAGCTTGAAGGACCTGATCTCGTTCGTAAAACTGAAGAGAAGGTTCGTCTAATCAGAGAAAAACTACAAGTGGCTTCCGATCGTCAAAAATCGTGTGCTGACTTGAAACGTCGTGAGATCGAATACAATGTTGATGACAAAGTGTTTCTGAAAGTCTCACCATGGAAGAAGGTGTTACGGTTCGGTAGGAAGGGAAAACTAAGTCCGAGATATATTGGCCCCTATCGAATCACTGAACGTGTGGGTCCAGTAGCATATCGGTTAGAACTTCCACCAGAACTGAACAAGATCCACGACGTATTCCATGTATCGATGTTGAAAAGATATCGTTCCGATCCATCGCATATCTTGACTGAGGGAATTGTAACTCTTGACGAACAATTGACTTATGAGGAGGAACCGGTACAAATTTTAGCACGAGAGGTCAAACAATTGAGAAACAAATCTGTACCCTTAGTCAAAGTGCTATGGAGGAATCACTCGACTGAGGAAGCAACATGGGAAACCGAAGAGTCAATGAAAATGCAATATCCGAATCTCTTCAACCAATGACTCAGGTAATTTCGAGGACGAAATTATTTTAAGGGGGAGAGAAATGTAACGCCCCGAAAATAGGCCTATCAGTATTAATTAATTGATAATTAATTAATTACTGAGAAGGACCCAAAAAAAATAAATAAATTCTAAAGTTTGTCAATAAATAATAAAAATTATATCGTTGTGTAGGGTTTGACTGTCTGACCCCAACGGTTCGATCAGATTTCAATTTGGAGAAAGTTGGACCAAAAAGTATACCCCGACTGGGACCAAATATTAGTCTCAATCAGGGACTACACACCAAACGGCGCCCTGTTCAATTACGCCGATTCCAAATCGCCGCACAATCACGGAAGCAACCAAGCCTGTGTCTTCTTCTTCTCCACTGGCCTATTTAAGCACAACTCAACTCCCTCAATTCCTCACCAAAAACATTCATTCTTCCTCCTATATTGTTCCTTGCTGAGAGTAGAGTGCAGTGGTGCTGTCATTTTTGTGTGAGGTCGCCGGAGCAGTAAGTTAGAGTCGCCGGAAGTTTCGCCGGAAAATCGTCAAAACCTCCCTTACGCTTTGAGGTAAGCCCTTAGATATATCTAATGACTAGAATGTTCATATAGGTCGTTTCTACGTTCATAAATGGTCATTTGGTTGAGTTTTGTGTTTGACATGTTTAAGAACCAAGAATCATAAACCTTGAACTTGATGTTAAAAATAAGTTTTAATGATTCCAAAATGATCTATGAACCTGGGAGAACATTTCTATATAATTTAATTGAAGTTTGGTGATTAAAAATGATAATACTCGAAACTGACCAGAGGAAGAAGATGATGAACAGTAGCCGAAAATCGATTATTTACTCCTAAGAATCGATTA